CCTAACAAGAGCCTCCAAAAGATCTCACCCTCACACGAATGAAGTCAAGATCCACAGTAGTAAAAATCTCACCTTTGTCTCCAATTAAAACCCTAGACGAGCTTCCAAGGCGATCTACTCCTCCACCTAACCCAAGAGTAGCCTGGTGCACTCTAATACCACTTGTTGGGCTCTTAAGCCTCCTTATTAGGGTATGAGGAAACACGAAGTCGCCGAGAGAGAATATCACACAAACACAAAATTAACAGCACGAACACAAATAATGAATTTTACGTAGTTCAGCAAGTTGTCTACGTCCACGGGGCAAGAAGAGGATAAGTTTTCACTTATAGAGAAGAGAGTACAAATAGAGATTATAAAATCACTTAAAATATCTTAAACAAAGCTCTCAAATCTCTCATACAAACCCCAAACAAATTGCTCTGAAAACTCTCTTTTCTGTGCACCAAATAACCCCCTTTTCAACCTTACTTAACCCTTAAAAACATGTTTTAATATATATCAAAATACAATCCAAATTAGAATAGGAAACAAAGCCCAAGCCCAAACCCAATTAGCGGTCGACCGCCGAAACCATCATGGTCGATCGGTCAGAACGACAGAAACTAAAAAATCCATTACAGAGTCTGCGTTCGACCGCCGAAGTCTTCGCGATCAACCGACTATAAATTCAGACTCTACCCTATACTCGTGCACGTTTTCGGTCTACCGCACATGTTGTCGCGGTCGACCGGGAAAGCTCCAAACTGTTTCCTTCGTCAAATTTTCTGAACTTCAACTCCGTTTTCGCCTTTTCTACAGCCCCAACCACAAGGCCACTTGTGAGTGGTAGCAAATAAGCTCTGTAAAGACAATCATTTTCTCCATAACCTTGTGTATCTTGTTTGAATGAGTGTTATGCCTTCTTGTTTGTTGAGCAATTCCGTGCTCTTGAAAAATTTGACATGTGTTGTAGCAAAGAGCAACTAATCATCCAAATAGCACATAGCCTTGAAACATCATAGTCAAAGCCCACTAAGTTATTGAACCTTGCCTTGCTGAAGAAGGTTCGGTATTCGAGTCATCTTATTAAAAGGTTGTCGTCTGCTGTGATTGGAGGTAAACTCCACTGAAAGTTTGGTCTGGCAGTAATTAACATAATTAGCTCATTCGATAATCTGAAGGACTAAATTATTAACCCGTTATATAAGTTTTATTTTAACCCATATGATCATTTTTAGTGTTTAGGAATAACAAGGATGTTGATTATTTTCTATATAATTAGAGGGGTTAACTCTTAATCCTTCTAAATAAGAGTATTAGTATTTGACAAATTATAGAGGGCTAAATACCTGTATTGGTATTTTAATTCTACCCTATTTATCAAAAAGGTATTTTAATTAGTCAAACCTGCTTTAAGGTATTTTAATTGATTCAACTTACCAACAAGACCCTTTTTCTCATCGGCGACCAGTTTTTCGGCGAGAGCTCGTCACGTGCGTGGCACGTGATGACTTCAATTGTTTTTTAGCTACTGATGTGGCATGAATTTTCTAACGTGACAGTGTTTAAAGGCGGGAATTAACCCTCTAAAAATCCCAATTCACCCAAAATAGGACAGATCTGTGTCACATTAGCAGCTAAAAAACAGTTTAAGTCATCACGTACCACGCACGTGACGAGCTCTGGCCGGAAAACTGGTCGCCGACGAGAAAAATGGCCTTCTTGGTAAGTTGAATCAATTAAAATGCCTTAAAGCAGGTTTGCCTAATTAAAATACATTCTTGGTAAATGGGGTGGAATTAAAATACGAATATGGGTATTTAGCCAATTATAGAGTGTTAACTCACTTTAACCCTTATATAGATTTTTTGTGTTTGACAAGTTAAGAAGGGGTTAAGTCTTCTTAACCTCTCACTTAACCCTTTGCCAAACGGCACCTAAGGCCCTGTTTGCCAAAGAGTTAAGGAAAAAGGGTTAAAGTGAATTATTAATGTACTTAGTCTATTCGATAATTTAAAGGACTAAATTATTAACTCGTTAAATAAGTTTTATTTTAGCTCTTGTGATCAGTTTTAGTGTTTGAGAATAACAATGATTTTGACTATTTTCTTTATAATTAGAAGGGCTAACTCTTAATCCTTCTAAATAGGAGTATTAGTAAACCCCTCATTTTGAGGGGTTAACTCATTTTAATCACTCTAGAGGCGTTAGTTTAACCCTTCTATATTTTTTATGTTTGGCAAATTATAGAGGGTTAACTCACTTTAATCCTTGTATAGATTTTTTGTATTTGATGGGTTAAAAAGGGGTTAAGTCTCCTTAACCCCTCACTTAACCTTTTGCCAAACGGTACCTAAGTTCATTAATTAGGTAAATGCGTTTATGATTTCAACTAATCCTTATGACATATATTTCAATCCATACTATTTTTTTTAAGCAGATCCATACTAGTTTCTTAGTATCATAGAGATGTACTAATTATCGGACTGTTAATTATCGTCAAATATAAACTGGATTGGTTTTCCTAATTAAATATTTTTTTTTAAAGTGTTTTTAAGTATTAATGTGATAAGGTTAATATCACGCTAATATGCTGTAGTTTTCTATTAATTTAAAGTTTGCGAAAGTTTTCTTTAGTAAAATTCGTTTAGGATGGCGTTGGACAAAATTCTTCCGCCATAGTTTTATGAAATTAAGTTGTCCTAAATAGTGAACGCAATGTCCACATGGAAATTTGTCAATATGCCTTTACTCTGATCTCGTCCCAAAGGAACCATCTGCATCCTTCAACAGAACCTCCCGGGTTTTTCTCTCTTTTTCCGCTTTCTCCGATCTGCCTCTCTCCCTCTCTCTCTCTCTCTGCCCGAAGAAGACGGAGCATAAAAAGGAGAAGATGCAAGCTATTTATTATGTGCAATGCGATTACTTCTTCTTTTTCTTTTCTTTCTTTTTTTTTTAAATTGCTGAAGAATTTCATGAGTAATGGAAGCTTTCAGGAGGCTCAGGGAACACGTCTCTAAGCAGGCAAGCCCCCGCTCCTTTTTCATTCCACACTAACTATCACTGCCACAAATACCTTTCCTCCACTCAAGCATCTAACTTACTCTTCTTCGTCAATATTATGGCCAATAATAACTTATCTCTGTTCGTCACCGTTCCTTTCCGCATAACCTATAAGGGCAAGGATGAATTCTACTAGTTTCTTGCCCGAGAGTCTCTATGTATTTATCTTGATTTTATTGTCAATTTAGATCTAAATTTACTTCAATTTTCTTGGTTATGTAAACCTCATTAAATCACAGTATTTGGCTTCAA